GKRSKTYWMYGRMRSTTTCTGCTTCTTTTCYGCCGACCCAGGATGGAGGTTACGAGGGTTCCGGCGCCCCTTTTGSCGGCACTCCTCCTTTGYTTCCCCCTCCTTCTTTCCACCATTTTCTTGCTCCTCTCTACCGGGTTGTTGCTTACGGCTGTTTGGTCTGCTTGCTCCCAACATACAGCGGTCTGCACGAGTGCCCCCCCTTCTCTTCCTTTCCCGTGCATTCTTGGCTTGATTGCTTCTTCCTTYTGGCTGTTTGGGCACARCATCTRCCTCTGGGTAATGGCGGCAGTCCTCATGCGACCTCGTATTGGCCAATGCGTCTTCTATTAGTGCATCGCCTACCCTTACTCCATGCGKTGATATGGCACCAGGTTGAGAGAGTTTTTCCTGGGTGTATGGGTGGTTGCWRKACGATTAGGGTAGCGGAGGTTGTGACATGTGGGGACATGAGGTGACCATGGGTCCACGTCCAGGTGCTGAGGGTAGAGGTGGCAGTGGGGGATGGAAGGATGGGGAGTACGGGTTCGWTYGTGGTTCATTTGTTTTGGCRAGGGACGAGCTTAMGGCGCCTGAGGGATGGGCTGATCAGGGGATGCGCGGGATTTTAAGAGTATGGGACGGATCGATCGAGATCGCATTTATCAGTTGTCATTAGGCTTGGATTYRKGGAGGTGTTTCGACGGCGGCGACTRCTRGAGYGGCGTACGTGGGCGAGSGAGTATGAATGTGGAAGGAGWTGAGACGATGTGGGCCGATCTTGTCCATGCTCTTTGCCGATTGGGTGTGGGAGGAGGGGGAGTGTGTTGATAACAGCAGTATCAATCTGTAGAGGCAACTGCTTGTGCTCTAGTGGTTTTGCGAAAGCTTTGCGCATGGTTTATTCGTCGATGTTCACCATGGATTGAGAGGATCCGTGTGCTCGACAATCGTCGCTGCGGCCTTTGGTTGCTTTGTCCTTAATCGCTATATGCATGGACTTACGATGGAGTTGGTTGTGAGTGTATGGGTGCATTCCCCATCCTTTTTCTCCCGGATTAGTGCCTTAGTGGTGACGATGACGAGTGTATCCCTTCCACATGGTGCTTGTGAGGAGGATAGAATATTAACCATGGCGCTGGCGGGCGAATGGTCGTTGAAGCCGTATTCACTTAGTCCCATTTTCTTGGTAACTCCGAGATGAGTGATTTCTGTTGCCAAACGGATTCGTGATTGGTTGTCGGAGCCATCGACTCCCGTTGTTTTTTATCACAAGCGTCGTTGATTCTACCTATGTCCGATGATGGTCTTTTGTGTTTTCCCTATTGCCATAATATTTGCACCCGCTTGTTAGTAATGAGTTTTTCAGCCCCTTCGAAATGGCATTGACCTGGTCGGTTTTGGCTTCGTCCTGGTGGGATGTGTGTATTGTCCATTGTTCTCGTACATCATCTTTTATGGTAATTGGAACGTTTCTTGGCCTTTGTTGTCTTCCTATCGCTCAACTGTCATCTCACCTGGCAATCTCCTTGATGTTATGTGACTCGRGTCCCACGGGTGTTGTTYGTGTYTGCCACGACCTATGGCGCAACATGCTGTGACACGGTCGCAGGAGCCACGTAACGCAAAATAAAACACACACACAGGTGCATGGCGGCCACTTCATTTCTCTCTCTCTCTCTCTCTCACACACACACACACACACACACACACACACTCAGAGGGTCATTTTTTGCAGCAGGGGCACAAAAACAGCGTGCTTCAAATCCGAATTTCCGGCGCAAGGGCATGACGGAAAGATGCATTTCACTCATGAGGGCATATCACGCAGTGACAGGTGAAATGGGACTGGCCGTGCAGGGAGTGCACCGCGGAAAGCTGCGCCCCTGCTGACAGGGGCATGCAGGAAAGCTCAGAGGCCCCAGGGGCACGACAGTGTACGCAAAATAATAGAAATTACAGGGGCGCCCGACAAATTCCCCAAAAACTATGGCGGCCCCTTGAATTTGAAAAAAAAAGAAGAAAAACCAACTATGGCTGTGTATACTTCCATCTTGTAGGAGAAGATTCATTCACATTTTGCAGACCTCGAGAGTAGCGGAGCGAGGCCCATTCACCCCCTCCCCCTCGTCTCCCGTGATCGACTTCTGCCGCGTCCTATCCCGCGAGGGGGAGCGAGGCCCATGCACCGCCTCCCCCGGAGCCGACGCCAGGGGCCTTTCCGTTCCGCCGACCGGCCCCCTGGCGGGTGGTCGCCCTCTGCCGCGCCTTTGGTTGACTCGTTTCAGACAGCCGGCCGCGGTCTCCAACACAGCCGATGACCCTCTCTTTTCTTTCTCCCCTCGGCCCCCCTCTCCCCGCTACGTTGAGATGTTTCGGACGCATCCCCCTCGCGGTTCGCGATACAGCCGATGAGCAGACGTGGAACACCTACTCGTTTTCGGTCCTTGGCATTCGTAGACGCGGAACGCGCCGGCATCCGGGGTTCCACTTGACGGCGCTTGACGGGAGTAGCGAGCTTCTTGATCTGCGTCGAGCTTCTGACGCACCTGCTTTCTCGGGCGGCTGGCCCGTACGGGGAAATGTCGATAGCCCCCTCGCTCAATACAGGTGAACTCGCAGGTGGCCTGAGTTCCCTTCGATGGCGCGAGCTATAAATCACTGAGCGATTTCACAAGCGCCCTCTCTCTCCGCAATTCTCCGCCAAGGGATCGTCAGCCAGCCAGTTAACCTTAAATGTGGTAGTCGCCGACGAGAGCCGTCGTACTGTTTGCTTGCCCGCTATACTCCATAGGCAGTTCGGTCCTCGGTATGTGGCATAAGTCTGCTGGCTTTGTGATCGACGTGGAGGTGAAGGTAGAGGCGAAGGTCGCTGCTTGGGTGGCACGCCGATATCAATGAACGCCGGCTGAAAGGAGACAGGAGGCGCAAGAGACCTCAGTCTAGCCAAACCAAACTGCACATGCCAGCTGCTGGTCGTCATTATCTCTCGGGAAGAACTCTCTCTCTCTCTCTCTCTCTCTCTCTCTCTCTCTCTGAGCACGCTCTTTCGATCGCTAGAAAGAGTGGAAGAGGCTGAAGTGAGGGCGGCAGATCAGTTCCCCTTCGTGCTCATCGGCCGTTCGATTGCACCAGTGCCGCTGGCAGCCAAGCAGGCTGTCTCGCTTTGCCTCTCTTGCGTTCTAGGTGAGCATCATATTCACCTCGCCAAGACTGCAGTTGCGTAGGGGGAACGGTCCACGTTTCTCCCGCCAGTCAACTAGACTGCAGGAGTTCGGAGCCATTTCAAGAGTTATCGATTGGCGGCATTCTGGAGCTCGCTTGCTCGCTCACAAGCCCGCTCACCAGCCCGCTCGCTATCGTTGCACAGCGAATCTCGAAGAGTACAGGATTCAATCGGTTGAATTCACTGACTGACGGATTGATTGATCGATCGATCGAGCAGCATTGGTCCGTGTATGATCCGGCTGCTTTAAAGTGATCCAAGAACTCGTACGGTATGTGGGCAGTCGTCTGCCGCAGCGGTATGAAGCTAGGGAGTCAACGTGTTCTTGCAGACGGAGAGTGCCGAAAGAGGAGAAAGGCGTGCTCGGCGGGCTCGCTGACTCTTACCGCGGAGGGGCGCGGGGCGGCGGGCTCTGTGACTCTTCCCACGAAGGGGAGCGGGGCGGCGGCTGTCCTCGTCATCCTTGTGTGTCTGCTTCCGGCGCTCGTTAACTCTGACGGCGATGCAATTCAGAGGTGCTCTCGCTCGGACCAATGTGCGCACATGCCTTGGAATGACGGCGATTGGTCAATACCCAAAGCGGAGCTCAAGCTGCCGACGAGTGAGAGGAGCAAGTTGGTCAAAGCAGAATGCTGCAGCGGGACGTGCATCAATTTGGCAATGGACAATCGACACTGTGGCGGATGCGGGAGAGCCTGCGCCTCAGGCTGCTGTTTCTTTGGATCTTGTGTACCTTGTTCGGGTGGGGTAGAGAGGACGGTGGTCTTGGATCCGCCAATTGCCGAGAAGCAGGCCGAAGGAGAGGAAGGGGGGGAGCGATGGCCATCGCCATTGGATGGCTCGAAAGGTGAGAAGGGAGGAGCGACGAGCCGCCCACCAGTCACCCCCTCGGTTATGGATTCTTCTACGGACGGCAAACCGGAGACTGGGCGAGCATCGAGATCGACGAAGAAGCGTAAATCCAGGTCCAAATTGGCGGCAAAACGCAAGTCGCGGTCCTCAGCGAAACGGAAGTTTCGACGGAAGTCGAGACCCACCAAAAAGAAGGTGCGGGTTGCCTCCGCCTGCCTCCGCCTCAACTGCGACAGAAAGGGACTTACCTGCTGCGGCGCCCGCTGCGTCAACAAAGCTTTCAACAGGTTCAACTGCGGGGCCTGCAGGAGGGTCTGCGCGAGAGGGAACTGCTGCTTCAGGGGGAGGTGCATCTCGTGTTCTTCTTGTCGTTTCCAGCGCAATTGGTGCGGAAAGCGTTGGGAGACGTGTTGCGGAGATCGATGTGTCAACCTCAGGAGTGACCAGAAGAACTGCGGCCGCTGCGGATTCGCCTGTCCAGGTGGGCAGCTCTGCATCGCCGGAAGCTGCAACTATTAGCCAACAACGAACGGGAGTAGTGAGGAAGGTCCTGCGGCGAGAGGGTGGTCTTGAATTACATGAATGAGTAAATGAATAGTCTCGTCGGCTTCTTTACAGAACCGTACGTTACGTAGTCCCTCTTCGACCTCGCTCACGTCATCTGCCTGTGTGCCGGTCTGCTTTTCTCTTTACCGAGTCTAGAGTTTGCTCGCGCGCGTATCATGCATGATCAGTGTGCATGTGCGCGTCTGACGCTCAAATCCCACCCAAAGCGCGGCGGCCGATAACTCCGCTCTCCGGACGGCTACTTCGCCTCTCCGGAAGCCGCCGGGGAAATAGAGTGCCAGGTACAAGACCGACGATTTCGACTGTGTCGTATGGTGCCATACGTATCGCGATTTCACCTTCTCCTCGGCACGCAATGTCTTCTCTCGTTCCTCTCTCTTGTAGTCGAATTCGCAAGTCTGAACCTCGCATAAGAAGGACAGCGTGGGGTTTGGTTTTGCTGCGTGCTCCGCATCTCTGGAGGGGAACCCCCTGTTGTCGATTGCCCTGTCCGCGTGGCTGCTCTCATCGTCGTTGCAAGCTGCAACTTTCTTTTTTTTTCTTCCATTGAGCGAGGTGAGAATGACAGAGGTAGGACTCGGAAGGGCAGTTAAATATGTGACGCCGTGACGGGCACCACCTTAGGAGACTCAAATTCCCTACTTGAGTTGGCGGACCTGAGAGAAAAGAAGAGTCAACGAATGTAGCTTTCCAGTCTCTTGATCGGAGACTCAGGGCTCAAGTTTCTTGTTGAGTCTGCTAGTCCTAGGGTAGACTAGATTCCACGAACGGGCCTAGCTCAGTTGAATGAACTTTTGTACTTGGGGCCGGTCAGCTCCGATGATATCTCTGGGTGACGTCGCCCTTTCTTATAAAAAAGGACTAGACAAGATATGCGGCGCGGGGGGGCGAAGGGGAAAGCCGCTGTTTTTTGGGCCACCTGATCTGGGAGGAGCGGAACTCAAATTTTCGTGTCGAGTCAAGCTGACGTCGTAAAGTTGTCTGCTGACTCTGCTGGCGTTTCTGATCGAGCCATCTGATATTAGACGGTACGGCTCTTCTCGAGCCATCTCACTTGGGGGATGGGCGGACTCGACAACATCTTGTTGAGCCAAGCTGACCTGAGTATTGAGAGGCAAATTACGGTATTTGTCTTTCGAGGAGGCTGGCAGCCAGGAGGAGACCGATGACTCCTTTTTGGTCTCACTTGGACCTGAGAGTTCTGGGAGACATTTCCTTTCCTTTTCTTTCCTGTTCTGTCCTTTTCTTGTTTTTTGTTAAAGACACACACACACACACACACGCACGCACCCGAATACACCCACACACACACGCACACACTCACTCACACTCACACACACACACACACACACACACACACACACGCACACGCACACAC